ATTTCCCATTTTTCAATAGTCCAATCGCTTTGGGCCCTCTGCCCTTGGGCTTTGGTTTTTGTCTTGGTCTTTACTTTAGATGAAAAATTTGAACTATAGACAATTGTTGGGCTTGGGCCCTTGCTATGCTTTTTTTTGGGGAGGTAACCAGTTTTGGTCTATTGACCAAAATTGGGTACAAACAAAAATCTAAATGGTTAATTAAATTGTAGCAATGTTCTATAAATTATATACCTCTATTTTCATTTTCAAATTTGAGTTCTAATAACAGTTGTTATTGTTTGCAGATTAGGTTTCGCATTGTATTCTGGCATCTTTCACTTAACTTTGTAAAGTTCCGACTTTGTGTGGTTTCTTTGACCATTTTGGTTGGAACGGCACATGCAAAAAAAATTTGGTTTCACCCATATTTATGGCCCACATTGCTCAAATTTTTTGAGTCCGTAGTTGCAAGTGGACACCAGTATTGCATAATATGTTCAAAAAATGCAAAAAAACAAACTTATCTATAACGGGGATTAACACTGTTTTGCTATCCCGAACTAATAACACAATGACACGTGGAAAAATTATCCTACATGTCATTGCATTATTGACCGGAGATAGTAAAAAGTGTTATTCCCGTTGCATGAGAATTTCTCTTCTAAAAATGAATTATCATTTGGGTAAGAGCACAAGCAATTTCAAACTACTATTTGCTGAGGTATTTCTTTCCAAAGTAAGTCTAGTGTCTACATAAGATAGTTGAAACTTAATCACTCTATTATTTAAGTATAGGTGTTAGTGATTTGCTAGCTCCTCCTTTTTGTCTTTTTGGTCCACATGATTTCCTTTTCTTTCTCAAGAAAATGTTGAAGAAAGTGACTACTTAGAATATATACCATATGTTGAAAGTTGGAGTCTGCCATTACATGACATTCCAACTTCAAAGATATCGTATCAGGTTGGCATGGCTTCAGCGGCGGATCCAGGAATTTTCCTGGGAAGGGGCAACATTTAAAAGGTTAAAAACTCAAAAGAAATACATGAATTATTCAAAAAAGGAGTTAGGGTTTATGGTTACACAAAGATAACCAAATCAGAAAACAAAAATAATATCTCTAAAAAAAACAACAATATTAAAATACATATTATAAAATATTATAAATAAAAAATTAGAAGGAAAAAAAACCAGAAGAAAAAAAGATGGGAAAAAAAAACATTCAAACTTGGAGAAGAGGGATGGATCTGGAGCAAAGACTCAGGAGCACGCAAAGCTGAGTGAAGAATAAGACTTCAACAGAAGGCATCCCTTGGTCCATTTAATTCCTACTTGGACTCCAAGAACACGCGCCTCTGTTCTGTGGAAATAAGGCTTCAGGTTTGCTATTTAATTTATTATTATTTTTTTGCCTGACCCAAACGACATCGTTTGGCCAGGACTTAAAAAACAGAACACGCACTGCACTCAGTGCAGCATCGCAACAAAGAAAAGGATGGTCGCTGGGTTGCTGAGGCATTTATTCGAACAGGTGGTGGGCACCTCCAAGGTAGAGCTGAGGGGCAAACTCCGGCGACTTCAAAGCTTTTTCCGGCGACCTCCTTGCGCCTCTGTAGATCCGCCAGTGCATGGCTTGGCAACCAAGATATACATCTTGTGGTCAGAGAGCCATAACTTAATCTTTTCCTCTGGGATTTGTTTGTCTGTTTACTTTTCTCCTGCACAATAATGAATATTCGAAAAGCATCAAAGTCCAAATATATCAGGCAGGCGCATGGAATTTGGAATCGGACTATAGTCAAAACATGTGTTGGGATTTAAAAGAGTACAGTGAACTCTTTTTGAATTTTGAAGTTCTTGTCGAATGTTTTGAACTTTTGTCCAATAGGGGGGAGGGTGTGATGTGGACTTGTTGCCCACCGATAATACACAAGAAGATCCAAAATTGTCAATTTTCTTGCTGTGCACGCAAAACCATTTTCACCACCCCACTTCGTGGAGTGCTCGATTAGTTTTTTGAGTTTTAATAATAGCTTCCTTTGTAATTTACTTCAAACCATCGTAATTCTAATATGGACTTCTTAGATATAGGTTTAATTTCATTAAGTATAATGGACGCAGAACATCAATTGTGTTCTCTCAATTGCAGTTCATAGATCTAGTTAGTGACCATTTAAGCAGTTTTTATGTCCATGATTTTTAAAATATTTACTTTTAGTGCCACTGAATAAAAATGAAAAACAGAATAGACACATCCCACAAATTTCTCCTACAATCATGCTCATTTCAAGCTAATCTCTCATAATTTCTTGCTTTTTAATGCCGAATCTCTTAGAGTCATACAACCCTACTGCTAAAAGTCCTCATCTGCGAAAAAATTTCAGCAAAAACTAAACTATACAAAGAATCAACTATGATTATAGGTATGCAAAAATAATTAACCACCTCCAAAAGCACCTTCCGTGAAGGTAAGTTATATTTGGTAAGTTATATATATATTTGCATTATAGGGTACTACAACAGTTTATTACCTACTCTGAAGGCAAAAATCTGCACCCTATATTCACCCTCCCTCTAGTATACAACCAGGGGCGGAGCTGGAATTTCAAGGTAGGCAAGGACAATGTATAAAATACTAGTATAGAAGATATATAAGTATTCAAAAATTACATGTTAAAACTAAACATAATTAAGTTATTCACATATACTTTGTGGGAGCGGGGTCATACTCAAAATTAACAAGGCCTCTTTAAGTTACTATTTGCATATTATAACATGTGAATATAGAGTATAATTTTAAAATGGGGTGGCCTGGCCAAGGCCACCCTTCGTCTAAGAGTGGCTCCGCCACTGTATACAACGTATATACTTGGCAAAATATATACCTGCGCTATAGGTAAATATATAATAGTTCATTGCCTGCTCAAAAGGTAACACAACTTGCACCCAAGACTTATCTTCCCTCTAGGTATGAAAAATAATGATCAATTTTCTAGTGCAGAATAATCTATGCCATGCTTTCTTTGTAGAATAATCAAAACGTATATAACAAACGAAAAACCCTGTCAAGTATATTATCAATGCCAAACGATAGCTTCCCCGTCTTCCGTATTTGCTTTTTCTATTCAATGTCAAATATTGTATGGCTAATTATTATGACATAAATCACTATTACTGATTTAAGTCAAAAAGGGCATCATTGGAACAAAAATAATTTTAAAAATAAAAAAATAAAAAGATTACATCAAATATAGTAATGTAATCCTATGTGGCACAAAAGTCAAAGAATTTAGATCAAAGTCATCAAATTTGATGATTAAACTCAACTCCTCAGTAAAAAATTGAATCTATGTCAACCTTTTCTATTCTAATTTTCAAATTATAATTAAAAGGAACTGTTTTTGGCGCTTAAAAGAATCATAATATATTTTTCCCTTCTATAATTACAAACGATGAGTGCGAGATGACATTTTTTATTGTCACTAACAGCTCCCATTGACAAAATCTCATTCATCAATTTTCTTATTTGATCAATATCTCATTCATCATTTAAGAAATGAAAAACAACAAACTTACCTTAACATTTTTTTTAACTTTGATCACATGCCACCCACCCCTTTAATTACTGTCCCGAGTGCCGACCATGGCTATCCATTCCTGCCATGCCAAAACCTTAACTCCCCAAGTCACTTTGGCATCGCATATAAAATGATTGTTTTGTTAATTTTGATCTCATGCCACCCACCCCTTTAATTACAGTCCCGAGTGCCGACCATGGCTATCCATTCCTGAGGCCTGGCATGCCCAAACCTTAACTCCCCAAGTCACTTTGGCAACGCATATAAAATGATTGTTTTGTGATTACATTCCTGCCATGCCCAAACAATTTTACATAATAATTTTCCTAAAAAGTAAACATATACAGAATAATATTAATAATGGATTGAATTTGGAATCTCGGAGTGTACCACTTCACATACTTAGTCAAAACATGTGTTGGGATTTAAAAGATGACAGTGAACTCTTTTTGTTTAAATAGAGTAGTGCATGACCAGTTATAACATACATATCTCCAGTTGGCCAGTGATTTTAACATTTCCATAATTCTGATGCAACTTATTTTTTTGTTCAAATTTTGAACCTACCTCTAAATTCTAATTCTATGTTATATATTGAGGGATCCTTCAAATTATGGAGCTTTTTGATTCTTCAAAGCACGGTACTCTCTCAGCCTTCTTCTCACACTACTCACCATCATTCATAACGTATCCAGGTACCCATTTTCTTCTCAAACCGGTTTTCATACGTGGGTTTTCTGGCTCATTACACCTAGTTTTGATATTTGTGTTGCTCGTCTCTTGGGTGTGGAAGAAATTCAAGGTGGGTGAAGGAGAGGGTCCAAAACAGAGGTTTGGGAGTATTCAAAGTTGGTATTATAAGCTAACTTTACTCTGTTGTCTTGGTGTTTCTGGGCTCAGTCTTGCTTTTTGTTTATTGAACTACTTCTATTGGCATAGAAATGATTGGTCTGAGGAAAAGCTAGTGACCCTTTTTGATTTAGCCATTAGAACACTTGCTTGGGGTGCTCTTTGTGTCTACTTGCATACCCAGTTCTCTAATTCTTCTGAATCAAAGTTCCCAAATTTATTGAGAGTTTGGTGGGGTTCCTACTTTTCTATCTCTTGCTATTCCCTTGTGATAGATATTCTTCTTTACAAGGAACACGTTTCCTTGTCCGTTCAATCTTTAGTTTTTGATGTTGTCTGCGTCATCTCGGGTTTGTTCTTTATATATGTGGGGTTTTTTGGGAAGAAAGAGGGCAGAAATACCGTTCTTGAGGAACCCCTTTTGAATGGTAATGGTAATGCCGAGTCAAATAATTCCAAAGGGGGTACACCTGTTACCCCTTATTCAAATGCTGGAATTTTCAGTATCCTTACTTTTTCTTGGATGGGTCCTCTAATTGCTCTTGGCAATAAGAAGACATTAGACCTTGAGGATGTTCCTGAACTATACAAGGGTGATAGTGTAGTTGGGTCCTTTCCAAATTTTAGAAATAAACTTGAGGCGGAGTGTGGTGCGGATGGCAGAGTTACCACATTTCATCTGGTGAAGGCATTGATATTCTCAGTCTGGAAAGATGTTGCCTGGACAGGATTATATGCTATATTTTACACATTGGCATCTTATGTCGGTCCATATCTAATCGACACATTTGTTCAATACCTCTATGGGCGGAGACAGTTCAAAAATGAAGGCTATGCTTTGGTTTCTGCATTTATGGTTGCCTTAAATATGTGCCAATAGCTCAGTAACTTTTGTGGCTTTTTATTTATTTAATTTCTTTTTGTGATATTTCATTGCCTGGATTATTGGAACTATACCCTTTGCCCTTAAACTAATCTTTGTTGTAATATTATATAAACATCTTCTCTTCCCACCTCAAGTTGGCAATAATTTATTCACTAACTTGATTAGGAGGAGGTTTGATTGATCAGTAATTAACAGAACATGTACGTACATTTGATTGGATATGGATCCTTTTTCTGGTTCATCCACACCATTATTGGAAGCTACTCTCTGGTCTAATACAATTATTCTCCATTTCCTCTGAGTCGGCTGGTCCACACTCAAATTAAGTGCACGGAATTGTATTCTAATCCTATGAATGAATATATTGACTAAAATCTACAAATAATTAAATTGGTTTGTTACTGATAAAAAAGAAAGAAAAACTTGAGTCTCACAGTCAGTGGCGGATCCAGGATTCATTAGCCATGGGGTCTTAGTGTAAAAGTAGGAAAATATTTTTTAGACGAAATAGCATTGAAAAATTAAAGCCATAGCACTTTCATTCCTAATCAACCAACAACCAAAAAACTAATCAAAACACAAAACCCTAATCAATTAATCAAAAGAAAAGCCCTTATCAATTAATCAAAACACAAGCCTTAATCAATTAATTAAAATACTATCAATAAACCATTAATCAAAACACAAATCTCATCTAATAAATCAAACAAATTTCAATAAACCATAATTTCAATTTTCAATTGAATTAAAAACTTCATATACCATCATCAATCAATTAAAGGAAGAGAGCATAGCGTTTCTCATAATTATTTTACTGACTCATCAGTGACTGAGTGAGAGATGAAACAGTTTTTCCTTGTTCTTTGGTGGTCTTCCCTTATTACTTTGCAAATTATTTGTAAACAAAACAATCAAATACTCAGTTTGTGAGAAAAACCGTAAACATATCTTAGAGAGAGAGAGAAAGAGTGGACCTTGGATGTTGGTGGGCAAGAGGAGCTCTGTTTCTGGTCTTGAAGAACAGCCATTTGGCTCTCTAACTTTGTGGTTTGTGGTTATGGAGGAGAGGGAATGTGAAAGTAATTGGGAATTAAGGGTTCTGCTGGAGTCGGGTAAAAAGGCTGGGTGAAGACGAGTTGTTTCAAGCTAGGTCGTTTAAAAAATTTTGAATGGGCCTGGACCAAAACGACGTCGTTTTGGCCAGGCGCTTGAAAAAAAAAATAGAAACGCGCGCTGCGTCCAGCAGCACAGCAACAGCGCAAGGTCTTTCAGACCTTTCGTCAAACACATGGTGTGCCATTTAGGGTCGCACAGCGGCCATCCATGGGGTCGTCTGAGGACCTCCACTGCTAATTTTCCGATCGGCATGGGGTCACCTGACCCCTCTTGTCCCTCTGTGCGTCCGCCCCTGGGCATATCTACAAACCTTTTTGTTTTTTGTTTTGTTTTTCAGATTTAGGTTCCTCTTTACACTTTTTCTGATATAGAATTCATGTCCATCCTATTGATGATGCATCTGTCTCTACTATATATTACAATATTATTTGTTTAATGCTAATGCTAATGGTAATGGCTTAAGCTGAGTTATGTCTTGCTTAGTATTTTGAACTAGTTCGATATCTTCCCTATTAAAATATTTTTGACATATTTTGCTAGTATAATATGATCATTCTAAAAATGCTTGTAACTGCTTTTTATCTTCTAATTTATCTGAAAATTTCAAGACTTTTTTAGCTATATATTCTTGCAATTGTATGGTTCCTGATTTAATATACATGACTAAAAATTCATAACTTGAAGTTCTACTTTATTTCTACTTATAACTATGGACAAGTATATCATCTACATATACACTGCAAATACTATCATATTTTTTAAAAATTTGATCCATCTTTGTTTGAAAAATCCTTATAGGGTTAGGGTTTTAACAATTTGTTTCCAACATGAGAATATTGCCCTTGCACTTCCATTGATCATAACTTTTTCGCTACAACTCTGATTCACACGCAGTACACGTCTACCAACTTGTGAAAGGAATCGGTGTAATGGCGCAAAGAAATTTTCCGAAAATCGCCCCGAACAAAAGTGGACCAAAAAGTCACCATTCGTGAAGGGCAAAACGGTCAATTTCCTCCAAAATTTCAAAAATGAAGAGAAATTGGAGGGTAAAATGCTAGTACAAACAGAATACTGAACTGAAGTCAGAGCACCTCTCAACCTGTTCATTTTCTAGATCATGTTTAAGTAAGAAAAACTTCATAATGGAGTTAAGAGATTGGTTTCTAGTATGTGTGATTGTTTATCGGTTCTTTCTTTTTTTATTTTTTCTTATGATAAGGACATTTAGTTTTTGTTTTAAGGGTTATGTGTGAGTGGAATACATGTTCTATAAAGTGAATGAGAATTAAGGAAAGTTAAGAGGAAATATAGCTAATATTCCTCTTTAAATAATTAAGATTGCTCAATATTTACGACTTAGTTGAAAATGAATTATATTTTATAAGATGTGTTATTATCTAGTTAGCATCTGTCTGCTTAAACTTATTGTTTGTGATTAGGTCATGAAAGACGGAAGGATTACTCAAGCGGGAAAGTTCAATGACATTCTTAATTCAGGAACTGATTTTATGGAACTTGTGGGAGCACACGCGGAAGCTTTGTCCGTGCTTAATTCTGCAGAGGTGGAGCCAGTTGAAAAAATAAGCGTTAGTAAAGAAGATGGAGAATTTGCTAGTACTAGTGGGGTTGTCCAAAAAGTAGAAGACACTGATGTTCAAAATTCGAAAACAGATGATTTACCAAAAGGGCAGCTTGTTCAAGAAGAAGAGAGAGAGAAAGGTAGAGTTGGGTTCAAAAAAGATGCAGAATTTGCTAGTACTAGTGGGGTTGTCCAAAACGTAGAAGGCACTGATGTTCAAAAGTCTAAAACAGATGATTTACCAAAAGGGCAGCTTGTTCAAGAAGAAGAGAGAGAGAAAGGTAGAGTTGGGTTGTCAGTCTACTGGAAGTATATCACCACAGCATACGGAGGTGCTCTTGTTCCGTTTATCTTGCTTGGACAGGTTCTCTTTCAGGTCCTTCAAATTGGAAGCAATTACTGGATGGCTTGGGCAACTCCTGTTTCAGAGGATGTGAAACCTGCTGTTGAAACCTCTACACTTCTAACTGTTTATGTTGCTTTGGCTGTTGGAAGTTCTTTTTGTATCCTCTTCAGGTCCACATTGCTTGCAACAGCTGGGTACAAGACAGCCACTCTACTCTTTAGTAAAATGCATTTATGCGTTTTCCGTGCTCCCATGTCTTTCTTTGATGCCACTCCAAGTGGACGAATCCTAAACAGAGTAAGCAAAATATATTTCTAATATAGTGCCTTATTGGGATATTCAAAGAGAATTTGATGATTTTTATGTACTTTCCTTCTCTGCTTTAAACAGCTACCACTCCATCTGCTGCTATACTGAATGCAGTAATCTCATCAATGTAGCTAATTGTAGTGCCCTACTGGGATATTCAAAAAGAATTAGATGACTTTTATGTACTTTCCTTCTTTGCTTTAAACAGCTACCACTCCCTCTGCTGCTGTACTGAATGCAGTAATCTCATTCAGTGTAGCTAATTGATTTCTTGTAGGCTTCAACAGACCAAAATGTAGTGGACTTGAACATGCCGGGTCGAATTGGGGCCCTTGCCAACTCAATGATCCAGCTTCTGGGAATTATTGCAGTGATGTCGCAAGTTGCATGGCAGGTCTTCATCATTTTTATCCCTGTGATTGCAATCTGTATCTGGTTACAGGTAACACTTCTTTGTCCGACTGCTCCTATATTGTATGTTGTACCGATACATGAATTTCCACATGAAATCTAATATGGAAATGTTAATGTCCCTTTTGTGTTAATTCTTTGTTGATCATGCACTGTTGATGCTCGTTATTCATGCCTATACATGCCTTACCTTCTATTTGATGTGGAAGTGAGGAACTTGGCTTCCTTATTCACACTAAAGTTCACTAAGTTGATATATTAACATTTTCTTCAACCTTTTTCTGCTACAGTTCTTAGAAACTTCTAAATTGACACAACATGGAAAATGATTGACAATATGAATCCATATAAATAAAAAACCTAACTCCTGTTACAGCCAGCCAGAAATCTATATGAACTATGTTAAATGTGAAGAAAGATGCTCAAAAATTTTATATTCATGCAGCAATACTACATATCTTCAGCACGAGAACTAGCACGGTTGGTTGGAGTATGCAAAGCTCCAGTGATACAACACTTTGCTGAAACAATTTCAGGGTCGACAACTATTAGGAGCTTCGATCAAGAATCAAGATTTAGAGATACAAACATGAAACTGATGGATGGTTATGGTCGGCCTAAGTTTCATACTGCGGCTGCAATGGAATGGCTATGTTTTCGCTTGGATATGCTGTCATCCATCACTTTTGGGTTCTGTTTGGTTTTCTTGATCTCTATTCCAGCGGGGGTGATTGATCCAGGCAAGTGGTATTCATTTAGTGTGTTACTAATTATTCTTTTGAAAGCAAATTGTATGAATTCTCTGTTTTCTTATTTGTTTTTGGTATTTTACTCTGAAGGTGTTGCGGGCTTAGCTGTCACATATGGACTTAATCTAAACAGAATACAAGCGTCGGTTATATGGAATCTTTGCAATGTGGAGAACAGAATAATATCAGTGGAGAGATTACTACAGTACACTACCATTCCCAGTGAGCCTCCTCTTGTAATAGAATCGAATCAGCCAGATCGTTCTTGGCCATTACGTGGAAAAGTTGACATACATGATCTTCAGGTACTTGCTGTTCTGGTTTATTTCTTTCATAACATATGGGGTCGGTCATTCATGTGTGACTCGAATTTCATGTTTATATAGGTCCGGTATGCCCCACACATGCCGCTTGTGTTGCGAGGTATCACATGTACCTTTCCTGGAGGAATGAAAAGTGGGGTTGTGGGTAGAACTGGCAGTGGCAAATCGACTCTCATACAGACCCTTTTCCGAATTGTGGATCCTGCTTCTGGCCAGATTTTGATAGATGGTATTGATATATCTTCAATTGGACTGCATGATCTAAGGTCT